CATTCACTATCTCCATAAACAAACATCTGCCAAAAAAGAAACTTGAGATCCAGTAAAACAAAATCTCACAACTTCAGAAACAAACCATGAATTTATCCACAAAATTATACCACATCATATAGACAATTTTATTAGAAAATAAAAATTACCTCCCTGACAGAACCAAAAATCTATACTTTCAACAAAGCTCAAAAGATTTAAAAATTTTTATTCATACATAAAACTACTTTTCGTTCAGGGATCATGCACCATCAGATTGAAAAATAAAATTAAATCACACAGATAGTAACTTGCATTAGATTTGGCAAAAACGGGAAGAAGAAAAAAAAATCAAACCAGAGTATCTACACATGCATTTTACAAGTTAAAGCATATTTCACTATGTAATAATCATTATTTCTTACATGAACAGAAAAAGATCCGCAATTTACACATCAACGATCAGCTGAATTAAACCTTAAGCCACAAATATAAAAAAAATCAATAAAAAACAAAAGCAGCTCAATTCACTCCGCAAACACGCATGCAAGCATATATAAGCATATATACATTAACGAAAATTCATACATAGACAGAGATCTGAGACTTTTACCTCAATGATCAGTGTGAAATCAATCGATCGGAAGCGGAGGAGCGAGAGGAAAAGATTAAATCGATCCGGTTGAAGTTGTTCTAGAAACTCATGGAGATTGACCTTCGGATCGATAAATTCAAATTCCCAAGGATGGAGGACAGACTTTGGCCGGAGAAAGAGAGTAGAGAGCGAGAATTGAGATGCAGCGGTCGGACGGCGGATCGGAGAATATACATGTATGAAATAGGAATGGATATATATATAGTGTGAGAGAGAGAGAGATGGGGACAGTGAAAGAGATATAGAGAGTGAAGGAGGGTAAGATTCGGATTTCACCTCCATTTTGGGTAAATTTACTCAAAATGCCATGAGGGAGTTCGTGTGGGAGTGCAATACACTACTGTTAGCAAGAAGTACATAAAATCTATCAAAAGTTTGTACTGCTACTCCAGTCAGAATTTCGGGGAAAAATACACTTTTCATCCTCAAAGTTTGGATTATTAATCATTTTCATCTTCAAAGTTTCACTCAAAACACATTTCATCCTCAAAGTAACGTAATTTTGATCAATTAAGGACAATTGACGGGAATTGGCAAATTTATCGTTATAACCAACTGTAAACCCAATAAAAATGGGTAAAATCAAATGGGGCAAAATTAGTTAGCTAAATTAAAGCTCAACTATTAAAGCTCGGAATATCACATGGTCCATCAACCTAAAAAGCCCATGGTTTGATAACCAAGTCGGTTATTAACCGATCCAGTTCCCCACCAATAGCTGCGTGTGAATTACACAGATATACCACGCACCTCAGAATCATTCCACAGTCTTTCTCAGCTCAATTTCAATTTTCAGCAAAGAAGAGAAATCAAAAAACTACACATTTCATTGTTATCTTGTCCATCTGAGATAGCAATAAAACCCAAAAAATGGGGCTGGGTTTACTCACCTCCCGGACTCTCTTGCAATCCGGAAAACTCCGGCCAGGAAACTTCACTCTTCTGCTCTGCCGCTCCATCGTCTCCACTAGTGAGCTCCAAAATGCCGAAGCAGTCTAAGCCCAACCCAATTCTCCCCCCCGGATCTTCCCAAGAGAACTCCCGTTAACGGGGCCTGAGTCTACTTTCCGAACCCGGAAGATGCTATCGAAGTCTTCATAGATGGATATCCAGTTAAAATCCCTAAGGGCATGACAGTCCTTCAAGTCAACATTCCTCGTTTTTGCTATCATAGCCGCCTTTCTATTGCCGGAAATTGCCGTATGTGCCTCGTTGAAGTCGAAAAGTCTGCCAAGCCTATCGCCTCTTGCGCTGTGCTGGCTCTCCTGCTAAACTAAACTAGTTGATAATTGAATTAATTTTTTGTTGACTTTATTGCTAAAATGGATTTATTACGAACAAAAAATTTAGATTTTTTGTTGCTTAATATGAGAAAAATGTGGACTTTAGGGTTTAATGTTAATGTGTGAGGATTGGTGCTTTATAATTTAAGAAAAGAAAAAGAAAAAGTTGTTTGCTTATGTTGAGCTTGAGCTGGATGTTGCATTCTTTGAGAAACTAATTGCTTAATTTTGAGCTATGGATGATTTTGTTATGGAGAGTTATATTTTTAGCTGTGATTAAATTTTCTTCGGCAGTTGCCAAGGACAAAGGAGAGGGGGAAAAAACATTTTGTTTGGTTGTCTGTTGGTTGTGTATTGATTTTGATGATCCGTTAGATTGCCCGATTTGTGATGAAGGTGGGGAATGCGGCCCTATTGGGTTTTACCCATTTTTTGTTGGATTTACAGTTGGTTCTAACGATAAATTTGCCAATTCCTGTCAATTGTCCTTAATTGGCCAAAATTACGTAACTTTGAGGATGAAATGTGTTTTTAGTAAAACTTTGAGGATGAAAATTGTCAACAACCTAATTTTGAGGATGAAAAGTGCATTTTTTCCCAGAATTTCGGATCACCGTGTTCAGAAAATTGCTTTCGTGGTCCTTCATATTTGGAAGGTTCTTCTTTTCCGGACTTTTATAATTCACATACAGCAATTTGGTCCTGACATTTTTTTTGGGGCTAAGTTGGCCTTGAGCATTATAGTTATGGTTTTCTCTCTATGTTGTTGATGGCTTATATGTTGATTTGCTGAAACAAAGTTTGAAACTCAAGGTTCAATTGTAAACTATTTAATGAGTACTTATCAAGTAGGCAAAGGTATTTTCAAGTAGATTACACTTGAAAAACTAGTTTTATATAAATTTTCAAATTAATTGGGGTTTGAACTCAATTTTTTCAAACACGAATCTAGATAAGGGATGTGAATGAGTTTTTTCAAATGATATGATAGAAAGAATTATTCTAAGAATGTCTCATAAACCCAATCTATTGATTTCTTCTAATAGATTAAAGGACTAAAAACAAAAAAGTTACTGTGGTATATATAATACATAGAAAAACTCTCAGTAGTTTTAAAACATACAAAACAACAATTCATGTCTTGAACTAAATTGTAAACTAATAGAATTCGTTAAATTTAACGAAATCCAATAAATTTAACGGAAAACTTAACAGAATTCAGTAAAATTAACGGTAAACTTAACAGAATCCGGTAAATTTAAAAGTCGAGATCGTCATTTTGCGTTAAAGTTTAACAAATTCTGTTAGTTTACAATTTAGTTCAAACACATGAGGTGTCGTTTTGTATATTTTGAAATCATGACAGGCTTTCCTTTACATTAGATATACCACATGAAATTTTTTTGTTTTTAACCCTAGATTAAATAAAAACCTTATGTTTCCATCATTGAAATATTAGTTGTATATTTTTCCATTCAAAGACAATAGGGAATGAACTTAAAGGCTTTTTTTAGGAATCTTGGCACGGGGCTTTGAAGTCTTAATCATAGTTTAGAAAGATGAAGGAATTTAATTTGGTGAGATTTAATAACCCATTACCATAGACAATTGAAATCACATGATCAATTCGACTTAAGGTCTCATAGTAAGATAAGTTATTTATTTTTTATAGTAAAAAAAAAGGTAGGGCAATTATATATTAGTGATAGGCAAGTTCTATGAGATATATATCAATTGAATGAATGTTGAAAATCGATATAATATATAAGATTGCGATGACGTCTTCATTTGGTGGCCAAAAGAATTTAGCTTTTAAACCAAAAAAAAAACCAAAACTATGGTGCATTTAATTTTAGGATAAATATATAATCAATCGCTTCCATCCAATTTGAAGTAATTAGATAGGATACATAATTCTTTTGTCTCAGAATCCATCAAAAAAGACATATTTATTGAAATCTTTCAAATTTTATGACTTCACTTTATGAAAAAGGCATATGATTTCACTCTCAAATTATGTACATATGACATGACCGCCATATTTTCTTTTGCATGACAAAAATAATTAACTATGCATGGCACTAAAATTACTATGTTTTAAATATCCACACTAAATATTTATATTTTATAGGTGTGAGGGACTATTCAAGAAATTTTCCATTTTCAATATGAGGGGGCACTTTTTGTTAGTTGTAGATTAATTGCTTTTCTGGATTTCAGTTGAGGATGTGTTCAACACAAAGAAGGAGGTGGCCACCGGCCCGCTTTATGACGACAATGAAGAGACACGTCAGACGGCGGACCAAATAGAAAACTCGCACGTGGATTTTTCTCCGTTACTTTTGCCATGTCATCACCACGCTGGTTGGCGCGTCGGTCGCAATTACGAGGTAATGAGCTCTTTGCAATTTGAATCTACTTGCGGTTAAAATCTGTTATGCTTCTTTTTCTGGGACGGTACTTTGTTGATGCGAGTGGAGTGAGCTGACCAGCTGAGTTCGTTCGTTGTTTGGATAAATGGGACGACCGTCGAAATTGGCATCCCCGGAGATTTTTGCTTAAATTGTCATCTTTTTTTCTTTTTGTGGGATGAGAATTAGGGTTGTACACTAGAACTAGAAAGTGGAACCCACCTCAATTTTTGTTCCATAAAAAAAGGTTAAACTTATGGAATTATTTGGGGTTAGATTAAAATGGTCATGCCGATGATAAACAACCCAGAAGTAAATTGTTTTTGCCCAGTCATTCCTTACATTTCATGAAATTACTGATCCTTTTCTTCTGTAACCTTACCTATATGGCCAAAGCATTACTTCTCGAAAAGAAATTAGAAGCATTACATATTGATAAGAAATTAGAGACAGCAAAATTCACAGGCCCTGTTTGATAATATAATCTCACAAAGCTTAATGAATTCAAATCTTAGCATGTTCAAAGCTTTTGGCGACCAAAAATAAAACAATTGACAAGACTTTCTCAAAAAAAAAATAATAATAATAATAAATGCTACGTTATTCACTTATCATTTAATATGATATACATTCAAATATATCAAATTTAGTATTTAATACTACTTCCGTAACTTAAAAACTTCATATTTCGAATTTCATATTTCAAACTTTCGTTTCAAATTTCAATTTTATCAGTAGCACCCCAAACGTTTCAAATTACTGATCACTTGCAGTAAAATTCATCTTTAATTCTCTATTTCATTGACATGGTTTTTGAACATGCTCAAGAAGATTTTGTTACTAGTTTTACGGATTTAAAACATGTCCCAAGCAAGTCATTTTTCTTTTTAATTTCACGTCATGAAGCAAAAGTTCCATTTCAACATCCACTTCTTCCGCTCCCACATTTCCTCCCTGCCAACTGCCATCGGAAAAAAAGAGACAATAACCAATAAAGGACCAAATATTGAATTCCCAAAGTTCAGAGTAACTCCCCCAGTTCGATTTCTACTAGATTATCTTGCAAGGATGCCCATCATGACAGGTGTATGTTCGACTTCGACCACCCAGTTAGGAAGCATCCTAAAATGCATTTGACCAGGCACCCTCTAAAGTCTAACCTCACATGGTAATGTTGCGCAATTCCAACTTATTCAACTCAAGCACAGGACCCTTTTATTTATTTAATTAATTAATCGGGGGCAATAAACTGGACCATAAATGTTGAAATGGGGAACGTCGGGATGCTTAAGCCAATTTAAACAATTCTCAAAATAAATTTAAGAATTTAAGCAATTCTCCAAAAAAAAAAAAAGGAAATTTCTTTAGGTCAAACAAAAATTCAAAAATTCTGATGGTACAGTCATATTGACCATTATGCATCAGAAGTTATAGACTATAATAAGAAGAGGGGCTTCAACCGCGTAATTGCCTTGGAGGTATTTGTTTAATGGGTGGATTAGGAACCGAGTCATTAGGTCCAAGGTCATCAATAGGAGGACGCTGTTTGTGATGATCAGTTACTGACTGGTAAGCCATTGCCAATGCGAGAGCCTGCAAAATATGTACTATTATATATTGTAGGAGAACATGAGCTGCTCCTAATCAAGGTCAATCCTGTGCAAGAACCAGTGTAAAGGTAAACAGGCATACTATTCATCGCATGATATCAAAGTTCCTCCGGCTTCTAGGAAGCAAAAGATCATTTTTTGCAAAGATTCTTGCGTAAAACTCTCAAGTGTATTAGATGACATCTCATCCTGTTTGAACCAAATAGTAACTCTGCCACACAAATGATGAAAGAAATTGTACTTATTTCAGCCTAAAGGATTATGGGTCAGATTACTTACAATATGGTCGCGCGCTGGCGGAGCATAAATACCGGTGGTGATTGTAGTTCTCCTTCGGGTGTCTGCTGTTGGTGGATCAGATATCTTCTTAAATCCTGCAGGAACAACAATAACAGGCATACCTACAAGGTTGCCCACACACACTCTTTCCCAATCTGTGGCATTTCCAACAAATGCATCAACTCTGAAACTTTCTTTGACTTCCCGTATAAGTTTCCCCCGCGCTCTTTGTGCCTGCAAAGGACCATCAAAGTTTTTACCGCTCCACAATCATTATCAACAGTGCTGGGTCTTGATTTGTAAGCTATTTTTAATCTTCAAAGCATTTGGCAAGGACTAAGAGTCCAGAAATGCGGTCGAGTAGTCAATCTAAGAAGTTCGATTGTGTGTACTAAATTGAAGCCACTGAAATTTGGCATTAGCGATTAGAAACAGGAGAAGCGGATCCTATAAGCATTCTAAAAAAGCAAACAAAGTCCAAGACCTGTTAGAAAGTACTGAATGTATGATTTGACGCTAGGAACACGAAAACTCAGATATTTATTGTGCATGAGTACAGCAGATAAACCGAAAAATTTACATATCTTTATAAAAGAAGATACAAGAAAGGATTCAGTGGACTAAAGAGATCAAACCCTGTTTGGCTTAGTTGCTCAAAGTCAAATGCCTAAACAGCCTTAGATTTTCATAATATTGGCCAATGCTGGAGTAATAAATAATAAAGTTTATCCACATCTATTCTTCCCCAGCCCAATTAAAAAGATCAGAACAACTCTGAACTCTGTTAATCAAAATTTCAACCAATAACCGATCAAATCATCATGATAGATGCCATCGAGCCAATTAAACTAGAAGTCTAACAGTTATGCATATTTCAAGGTGTCCTGCATTAAGAATATCCATCTCCTCCAGATCCAATGATATAGGCATTTTACACTATATTACACAAACCACATTAAGTGGCCGTGATGGCACATTAACTTTTAATATTTGTGCTTCCCAACTCAGAAAAAGAAAAAGGAAAGAACAGAAGTACCCAATAAGAAGAAGCTACCTTTTATGTAGATTTTCCCATAATTGTTCATTTTTCAGTTTTGATGAATCACTTAACAGATGACATACCTGCACATAGTCTACTGCAGGTATAACACGTGCTCGTTGAAGTTCAAGAGGCCACTGATCCTGAGCTTCATATTGATCATCCAAGTTAGCACGCTGCCATTCATCAAAGTGGGCCAACATGTCAACGTCCATTGTAAAATTCAAGATGCCTTGTGCAGATTCAACAGTGTAATTCAGCTTAAAGGGGACCATGTTCACCCCCTTTGATTTAAGCACATCAACAACCTGTAATTGACACCCAAGGATCAGAAATAGGACTACGAAACTTAATTCAGGTAAAGGACATATTTTGCTCACTCCCATCTCAGCATCCTCCAGATATCCAACAGTTAGCTTTGTTATGTCCACTGTAAATGGATCCACCAATGGAATATCCTGGGATGAAAGATCATCCGGATCCTTTCCTCGTATCATATCCAGAATGATTGTGCAGTCTGCTGCACTTCTGCAGAAAGGGCCTAATTTATCCTGTCAAAGAAAGAGACCTTAATTCTGAAACTCATAGAAAATGGAAAGAAAAAGAAAAAATAAAACTGTATAGCAAGCAAACTACTACCAAGCTCTCAGATATGCTCATAACACCAGTTCGACCAACAGTTCCAAATGTGGGACGCAGTGCAGTCACCCCACAACGAGCAGCAGGGTAAGTTAAGGAACCAGATGTTTCTGAACCAATAGCGAATGGAACCATACCTATATGTAAAGGAAAGAGAATGTCCAAGTTGAACGTGTGAAGCTCCAACTAGTTATGGAAAGTGCTCACTAATGACAGAAATACACCTCACCACATGGAACACATTTTTCACCCAAAGAGAACAATGTTATGCTGGTATAATACAAGAAACCAGTGCCATACAGAGCACCATAATCCAGGAAGATACCTGCAGAGGTGCAAGCAGCTGGTCCAGCAGATGAACCAGTGGAGTATTCCTCAATATTCCAAGGATTCCTTGTCCTGCCTCCAAACCAGATATCATCGTACGCCAGTGACCCTGAAACGAGCTTTGCAACAAGAACTCCCCCAGCAGACCTCAGCCTGTATCATCCAGAATTATCCTTTATCAATACAATGTCAAAGAGTACTAGTTGTAGCATCTGCAATATTCTAGTACCAGGTACCTTTTATACACCCAAGCTTCAATATCAAGAACTTGATCTTTAAAAGTCTTTGAGCCCCAAGTCGTCCTGTAATGTGGGACTGCAATGATGTCCTTTAATCCATATGGAATCCCATGTAGAGGACCTATGCAAGTCAATATTTTCACATGATATTAGCTATAATGTGGTTTGGAAGCAAATTCCAGAATAGAACAAATAAGAAAATTAGAAACACGTGCAGATGACAAATAAAAACAACTGCTGCTCACTTAACTGTTTTCTAAGGTTTCTAACTAAATAAAAAGTATGGAAGCATGATGGTGATTATGTTTTTGAACTAACCCTATACTTTAAGATCTTTGTATTCACAGGCATCTGTTAAGATTTGCCAGTCCATGGAAATATATATCACTGCAAATCCAGTGTGGAATTAGAAACAATGGATAATTACCAAGGTATTTGCCTTTCACAAGTAAATGATCGGCCTCTTTTGCCTGCTTGTATGCTAATTCCTCAGTGATAGTGACTACTGACTCAAGGACAGGACCATACCTGCCACAACAGCACCAGTAAAGAGTCTTCTAAATACTAACAGATGATACTAAAACACCAGAAAGATTGGTGATACCTTTTCAATCTCCTTATAAAGATCCCCGTTAGCTCCTCTGATGTAATTTGTTTTGTTTTAATGAGTTGCCCCAATTCAAGGACCTGAGGCATCCATAAATTATATTTGAAAATGGAGCAATTAGTCACAATATATGGAACTGAATGCATGATCATATGCATCATGCTTTAAAACTATATGGATATTATGGACCTACACTCATGAAGGCAATATCTTCATCACTTTTTGGCCTCCTTACACCTTCAAGAGAAGGATGACTGAACCTCTTGGTCGCCTGCTGTAAACTTTCATTTGTCCGTGCAGGGTTGAAAACCAAATAAGATGGATAATGCAATCCTCCATTTTCAGAAGCCACTAACTTTCGATTGGTTTTGATAATTGGAACATTAAACTCTTTTGCTGCCTTTTCAATCTCGTGTACCTTGAGAAAACCAGCACTTGCATATAAGAAACACCAAATGAACATCAAAATATACAATTTGTTAAACGTCAGCAAAATACCTTATTATCACTAAAGAAGCTAGCATCAAGTATCTTGAACAGACTTTGGAGCTCAGAATCATGTTTAATCTTTTTCAAGCATTCACTACTGTGAACATCCAATTTCCTGCTGTCCTGGTCAAGTATTCTCAAGAACATCAACACAATAAAATAATTAACTTAACATCATCCTAGCTTCCAAATGCGCTACCTGCACATACAGGTCGAGGATTGACCCCAGACTCCCTGATATACAATTTCCCAGATTTTTTTATATGAGCTCACCTGTTTTGCAAATGTTAGTGGTGCATGTTCGGATTTTTTCAAAGATCAAATGACAGTAAGAGTAATAAGATATACCCCAAAATAAGTGTCTAAACTTTTAACAACATGAACTCTATAAGTTGGTTTCAAAATTTTCACACACTAGATTTACCAACTTCAAAGAACCTTGCTGAAAACATATCTCCACATTTTAATGATACTCCCAAATATACATAGATAGATGCTAATGCATCAAGCTGGACTTAGCGCCAACAGCTGGCAGAATAAAGATTCCTTATTAACTTTAGTAACAGGAGAGCAATTATGTGACCTCAAGCAAATGGTTTCAAGTCTCTGGAAAAATGAAGGATACCATTTGATGATCAATGTGGCCCGAGATCCACTGTGAAACAGTTCTATGTTGAAAGAATGGAATCATATAATTTAAGATATGTTATTCAGTGCTCCAAAAAAAAAAAAGGAGTGAGCGAAGAAATTGGGATGACAGTGTAGTGACAGAGGAACGAACTCTAGCAGGAATAGCATCTATCTGAGTAGAACCTCTACTAAAGCAAATGTGAAGTTTAACCAATCAACCACTGAAGCAAATATGAAGTCCCCAGCCTCCGTAATTATAAAGAGCAAAAGTACAGAACTCAGAAATGACTGGTCTGTAGCTTTCTTGCATAGTAGTCTAATAACAAGTAAAGCCTCCTTGTACATCTTCTGTTTAATCCATCAATTAACTTCCAAAGCTTCATGCTACTATCACTCAACATTTAGAACAAGGTTTTTAACCAAAAATATAAGCCATATACTAAATTTTGAGCGCAGTACTTTTTTTTGGGGGGGTATGTTCACACTTCATATCAGACTCAAGTGAAAAGGAAGATACATGGTGGCTTTCCAATGAAAACAATTACTCAAGTATCAAAGCCAACGATTAGAAGAAGTCAGAACTACTAATGACTTCTTCCAAACACCCAGAAACAGACAATCGAGGGGAAACTTGTCACTAAAAGACAAAGAAAAAAGGAAGAAGAAGAAGAATCTCTTATTTTTACTACACTAGAACATCTGTTGCAGGAAAAATTCAGATGCAGAGTGCAGCAACGATGTAGAGTCATACTGCACAACAAACCATACACATTTTCTAAAGAAGCTGCTTGTTGGGTCCCCTTTAGCCTTTATGATGATTCATTCACTTATAATATGAAAATAGGAACCGGAAGAGAGACAGAAATTGAAGTTCAAGAAGTACCATATTTGTACGATTGGCGGCAAGTACCCGGTGATGGTCGTCTTGGAAGTCTGAAGCTGTGCAAGCTTCATTCTTGGCTGCTGTACCACCGTTAAGGAGTAGGACACAAACTGCAGAAAACTCCAGCAGACGTGTCCATCCCAGAAGCCTTGTACGACACATGGTGGACTACTAAGTTTACCACGTTATCCAACGAGTGAAAGAGTTCAGATCCCTCCTCGTCTTCGGCCTCTGCAATTAATCAGTCACCGGTCTGCTAATTTGTAGTTTGGAGCTCAATTCTTGCTCGAATTCCAGCACTTTTTCGTACTGAAAGTCAAGATTAGACTGATTAGGCCGGCGGAAGTTTTAAGGGAATTTGCACATTAGGTCCGCCAGTTTCATGGCTTATCTTACCATAGGATAAGCATAGTACAGAGAAAGTTTCTTCAGTCTCTTGCTTCTTTCCCATTTGGTAATATGATTTTTCTCAACTTTGACCTCAGCATGTGTATCCATTTATATCTTATTGTAATGGCATAAACAATCTCTAACATATGATCAATCTTTGCCTATTAGAAATTTAATAATATATCTCAACAATCTATCTTGGTAGTGTTTTTCTTTTGGGTCCAATGGAAAAGCTATCTTGATATTTGAGTAATGCTAGTAGCTTTCCTTAACCTTTTTCGGCAAATAAAACGTCACTCTCTCATAAGCAACCATTTATGATGTTGAGGTCTAAACTCTAAAATGGATGCATAGCGACTTTGTTTGGATTGTGAATTATTTGTCAAATTATATCTGCTTGCATCGTCATTATAATTTCCAACGCACCTTTTTATCTTCCTAATTACCTTTTTATCTCACATATATCATATCGCAAAAAGTACTACAGTAAAAATATCTCAAATAATTCACAATCCAAACAAACCCTCATGAGTTAAATTACTTGAACTTCTTCAACTTCCAACAGCTGCCTTATTTTCAAAAATAAAAAAATTATTAGCTGCTTCATGCGACAAGTTGGGGGAATTGATATTTGTATTTCTCAATTAACCTCTAGAACTCTCAGGAGATATATTATTTATTGAATGGATTAGAGTGAAGTGGCTAAAATAGTAATGTGAATATCAATTACCCAAGTAGGGCCATTCTCCAAAAGGGTACAGAGAGTTTAAAAAAAAAAAAATTTTTGTCAAATTGATCCCTCACATTTTGAGAAAAAACTTTTTTAATTTCTTACATTTAAAATCAATTATAATAGTCCCTTACATATAAAAAGAGTTTGCCTGATTGGTCCCAAGACTCATTTTTGCTACATTCTTTGACCAAAAAGTGCACTCCTCTCTCATGCACCCATAATGTCAAAGGCAAAAATGATAATACATTTAGTTCCTCTTTTTTCAAGTGATATGATCCCCTAATACATGGTATATTAGTGTCAGTAATACAATCGGTTGGAAATTGAGAAACAAATAAGAATTCAAAAAGAAAAATTATTTTGGACTGCTTTGCTTATTTCTTGAATGCGCATTTTGCTGATTGCATTGAACAAGAGTTCAATTGTATTCTAAAGAAGAAACGAAGCATGTAAGGTAAAGGCAATATTGTCTTTGCATCTTTGTCGCTGGTAGCATTGTCGGCATGATATTGAATAATGAAGAAGTTAAAACCTCCATTGTTTAATCGAGATTTATATTTAGGATTTTGGCTGCTGGAGCATTTTTTAAGAGAAAATAAAGTATATTTTTATTTTTGTCCTTGAAATTATGGACATGCAAGAGAGATGCATGTTTTTTGGGCAGAAAAGTGAACGAAAATGAGTTTTGGTACTAATTGGGCGAATTTTTTTTCATATCTGAATGACTATTGTGGCTAATTTTAAATGTGAGGAACTAAAACAGTTTTTTTTTAAAAATGTGAGGAATCCATTTAGCAAATTTCCCACAAAAAAAAACTAGGGATAATTTCAGATACCTCTTCTAAGGTTTCTGACAGTCTCACTTTCCTCCCTTATGGTTTAAAAAATATCACAAACCTCCTCTGTCAGAATTTAGGTTCCATTTCTTACATCATCATGGCTAAAAATACTTAAATACCCTCACAAGTCAGCTAATATTTCGTGATTATCAGGATAAATACATTCCAACTCACGTAATTATTTTTTTCTACGCTATATTTAATCTCCCTTTTACATGTATACATAATCAAATAACTAACACCTAACATGATGTATATTTTTTTAATACATAATTATTCCAAATTTATGTGTACTATTACACTACCTTTTATAGATATACACAGTCAAGTAACTAACATCTAATATAATGTGTATATTTGTTACAAAATCCTAAACCTCAGGGGAGGTTTGTGATTTTTTAAAATCATAGGGGAGGAGAATGAGACTGTCAGAAACCTCAGGGGAGGTTTCTGAAATTATCCCAAAAAACTATCTTAGCGTGCACAAGCAGCACAAGTAGCTTTTATATTCGTTGAAAGCCTGTATACGTTGACCACCGTCCTTTCAGGGTTCCAGTTAACCACCGGCGATAGCATCCAAGAACGCAATTGCTAAAATAAAAAGAAAAAACCTTAGAAAAGTGAACAAAAAGAGGATGATGGGCCCGGTTGTAATATCCGATTGATATTTGACCTGGGCATTGCCGAGCTGGGGCTTTTTCTACTCCTTGAATGCTGGCCATTTCTTTGTTTAAGCGGGGAGTGCATTGCTCAGGAATCTGCCTATAAAGGTTCTTCCTTGACCATCTTTAGTTCTGTGTTTACATTAATTTATTCGGTAAGTTTAATTCTTCACCCTGACCGCCACTGAAAAAGTGAAGAGCTACCAGCTTTATATCTATCTATCTATCAATCTATGTTTGTGTGTGTGTGTGTGTGTTTTTTTAAAAAAAAAAAAGAAAAAGCTTTTTTCCCTTTTTTTTTTTCTTGTTGATCGTATTTTGGATTCTTTTGTTTTAGGACTGTTTATGTCATCTATAGATTTAAATTGATGATTTTGTTTCTCCTTTTTTTTTTGTTTTATGTCTTGGGCCGTGTGGCTTTAGAGCTAATTGTTTCATCTTGGTAAAGTTAGATTTAGGTGAGTTCCAGACAGCTTTTAATGTTTACAGATTTTTCACATTTGTGGGAAATATATGTCAACCATGAACGAGTGATTGTAGTTCTAAACCCATACCTGGAAGCCTTTGAAACACTTTTTCGTTTGAATTACATCCATTTACCAGTTCTGGTGATTGAGTTACAAAATAGCAAGGAAAAGTGGTGCCAGTGACAATAAGGGTCAGGGGTGTGTCGTGTTGATTGGAAAGGTAATAGGTGGCTAAACAATAACGTTTAAGAATAATAAAGTATACTCATCTTGGAGCCCATCTATCGAGGGATATTGCCATGCTCTTAAATGTGTATCTCCCATAAGCTTGACGCTCGACGCTGGAGGGTGGAGGGAGGGAGGGAGTGCTGGAGCAAAAGGGGGAAATGGTTGGACTAAGGTTGTGCCGGATGTTAATAAAATGGGTAGACTAAAATTTCATTTTTCAGTTGTCTAGGTAAAGAGGAGTAAATTGTTTATGCCTTTTATATGTGGAAAGTACTTTCACATGAAGAGAGTACTAACCAGAAAAACTTGTTCTGGCATGTCTCTAGCATGGCCAATTGAAGGGAGGACATTTTGCTACTTTTGGCTAGCGTTTGTAGCCATAGAATGTGCTACAGGGGCTCTTTTGGCTCGTGTTTGCAGTCATAATTTTCCCAATCATGCGGCACTCAGATTCCTACTTCCTTTAATGCTATATCTAGTGGATTGCATTTTTTGAAAAGGGGCTCTTCCTGGCAATGGTTGCTTATGATAATTGGAACTGATACGTTCGCTTAAGACATTTAAATATCCCAGACCTTTCATTTCTAGATTTTGCCAAGCAGCTACCCTTGATATTTGGCGTTAATTCAATTTCACTAACATTTGTAAAATTGAAGCCCTACAACTTGCACTGAGTAGTAGAGGCAAAATGCAGCTACTTAATGCAGAAGCAAAAGCTTCAAAATTTGAATCTTACCTTTAGAGGAGAAAGCCATAGACAAACGGAAAATTCCGTTGGAGATTTTGATTCTGAATTATCATCCTTGTGTTAATTTATATACTCTGGCGAGCAGTTGATGATGAACTTTCTCAGTTAGTTTGGTTTTGCCTATGATTCCTTGTTTGTGATCTTTCGTGGTTTATTTATTTTTTGGGAGTGTTGGGGGGGTGGGGGTGGGTGTTGTTTGCCCATTGTTAATTTGTTTGTCAGCTGTCAGCAGCTTTGCTTGCTTATGGTTTACTTTTTCTGTTAACAGATTGGCAAGATTTTGCTGTGACAACCCAAGTTTTGGCAAACCATAGTATGTCTTATCCTCCCTCAAAAGATTTTTGGGGTTGTCCTGGGTTTTTCCTTTTGTAAACTCTTAGGATAGGTGGAGAAATTTTGTAAAAGACATTATTCACCTCAGATTTCTGTATATCAACTTCAGTAGTTCTTACTGTTTATAAGAAGATATAATGTTTTTCAATCATTTAGGGAAGCATTTCGCAGTTTATAGTTTCAAAGTATTCGACCACAAGAAAAGTTTGTACTGAGAGGTTTGTCATTGGATGCAGACATGCTCAAAGTCCCCCAAAATCAGGTTGCTGGTCACCAAGCTGGTGGGGGAAATCTTGGGCCACTTGTAGATGACTCTGGGCACTTTTACAAGCCTCTCCAAGGAGATGAACGCGGATCTAAAGAGGTTGCATTTTACACTTCATTTTCTTTAAACACTAAGGTTCCAGATGAGATCCGCAAATTCTTCCCGATCTTTTATGGCACTCAGCTTGTTGAGGCATCTGATGGATCTGGCTTAAAATCTCACCTAGTCTTGGAAGATCTTACTTTAGGCCATGTCAATCCTTCAATAATGGACATCAAGATTGGCTCCAGAACTTGGTCCCCACAAGCATCCGAGGACTACATAGCGAAGTGTTTGAAGAAGGATAGAGAATCATCAAGCCTCCTGTTAGGATTCAGGTTATCAGGTCTACAGTTTTATACCAACAAAGAAGCAGTATTCAGGAAACCTACAAAGAAATCTGTTCAGAGTCTTTCTGCCGAGGAAATTAAGTTAGTTCTGAAAAATTTTGTTTCTTCTAACACTTCTACAGAGTTGGAATCAAAACCAGATTGTGCTTTTGCATCAGTTGTTTTTGGTGGTCCCAATGGTATTTTGTCACAGTTATTTGAGTTGAAATCATGGTTTGAGGATCAAACTCTATACCATTTTTATTCTGTCTCGGTTCATATGATGTATGAAAAGCAGCTTGCTTCAGAAGGAAGGAATCCTAGAGCAGAGATTAAGCTTATTGATTTTGCACATGTTGATGAAGGCAGGGGTGTCATTGATCACAATTTCTTGGGTGGGATCTGCTCTTTAGTAAAGTTCATTTCTGAAATCCTTAGGGCTACAGATGACTGCCCAATCAAAGCTTGTTCAAAAGATGCTCAGAAGAAACACTATATTACGGATAATGGAATAAACTGATTGAAGTAAACTATCTGCTGGTAAGGGCTTTTAATCTCTATTTTCTGCTTGTCATCGGTTTTTTTTCCATTTCCTTGTGAGTGCTATAATCTGATGGTGTTTGATGCTGAATACTTCAAAATTTTCTGTAGATTCTGGAAAAGTGTAAAATATCATTCAGAAACCAAAAGAAATTCAACCAAATGTTCATGTTAAGTTCCTTTAAAACATTTAGGCCTTAAATGAGCATCGCAGTCTTCAAACTTTGCTTACTTAGATAACATAATTTTTGTATTTCCACATGAATTTTTCATCTACGAAATATGTAGTTTTCCACTTGCAGTACAATGGACCTTGAAAATTTGTAGCAATTAAAAGTGTTTTGTGGGCTGTTTTTTTGTTTTTAACTTTACCTAACTCAATTTGTTTATCATGCAGGGTGATGAAGTGGAGAATCTTGTTCTTTCCCTCCGTGACAAGTTACAGAAGTGAAAGATCAGATCGAGCTGTTGGATTTTGCTGATTCGGATATGGTTAACTTTACTTAAGGTCAGCTATTGAACATGTTCAGAAGATGCTAGTTGGGACCTGTTGCTTTATATTGTACTTGGTCAACAAATATTTAAGGCCCTAACTCTGTTCGCAGTTTACTTACCACTTCTAGCAAGCTTTTCTGATTGGTCCTTTTATAATACAGTCTTTTGGATTATTGTATTGCAGCTACGGTTAATGGACGAAACTTTCCCACAGTCAGTGACTGCATTTTTTATTTTCCCGCGTAATGGCGTATCTAATCTAGCCTATTCTTACTCCTACTCTTTGGGGTGGAGGGGGGAACCTATTCTATGGGTGATTCAACTAAGTTCGGAGAATTTGATGGGAACTGAACCACCATCAAATCAGATGGGTGTATCACACTTTCGTATGAATTTAAAACAAATTTCGTATTGAGCCACATTGACGGGAGAAATTCACCCCTCTTTTTCTTTATTTGATGACTAGGTGGCTTGGTAGTTTCTTCTCTGAAACATTAACAAGGAAAGAGTAGACTGGAACATAATGTCTCAAACGTAGGGACATCTAACCTTTCGACAAGGGAAAGTCACCTCCATTTTAAGCATTGAATGAGAAGTGAAGTGAACTCCAAACTTCTCGATGTTACCCCTTCTGATGCAACTCCCGTACTTTATATTCACATCGAAAACAACTCAATTTGTTAACCACAAATATCAATCTTTGTAATAAAGACAGTAATGAATTCACCTCCTCTCTCTCTCGGTACCTTTTTGATAGCATGCTTCGTTGTCTGCCATTACCAATGTCAGGCAGCAGACACGGATAATCTCCATGATACTTGTCCGACAGATACAGCCCAAAAGACCGTCTTTATCAATGGCTTTCCATGCAAGAATCCAGGCAGTGTTTCGGCTTCTGATTTTAAATCCTCCCTGTTGAATGAGAAGGGTGATACAGACGATATTTTTCGTTCCAGCACGACTCTGGTCACAGCTGCGGAATATCCAGGGCTCAACACTCTCAGCTTATCAGTTGCGAGGACTGACTTAGAAGTGGATGGCCTGGTAATGCCACATGCTCATCCGAGGGCTTCTGAGATGCTCTTCGTTAGTACAGGTGTGGTGATTGCAGGATTTTTTGATACCAATAATGTCATGTTCCGGAAAGTTCTTAGAGAAGGGGATGTATTCGTCTTCCCAAGAGGTCTTCTGCATTATTGCTTGAATAATGGGTTTGAGGATGCCACCGTTTTCTCGGTGCTGAATAGCCAGAATCCTGGGGTTGCAAGTATTCCTGGTGCCGCCTTTGCACCTCATGATGCAGAATCTATGAAGAAATTGAAACAGAGATTAATCTCTGTGTCACGATTGGACCATGAACGGCTCGAAAACACGACTTTCTTCTAGTCAACTTCTTATTACTTCTTGAAAATGATGTATTTTTCTTGTAGATGTGGAAAAGATCAATTACTTTTACCTTTCTTTGAGAATTATAGTATGCAGTTGCTTGATGTGAATTTTGATATACGAACATGTCAGTGGAGTTCAAAAAAGTGCTTGGGAAAATTTGGAAAGCGCCTGAAGAGTATTTTTGAAGGCTGAAGCAAAGAAATGATATCAGTATCACCATAAAGAAATTCTTGTTAGCTAATCTAATCAAATCAGAAAAACCAAAAAAAATCATACCAAGTAAACAAGAATATGCTATAATAGTTTTTTATGTATTAGTTAATCAATCAACTTACTTGAACTCTACTAAGAGCTTGCCTTGATTATTTTATGATTAAACTTTTAGTTGAATTATAATCAAGCTTGCAGTTTTGGACCCGCCAATTCTACCAACACAAACGAACGAACCATTTGCCTGTTTTATCTACACAGCTTTAGGAATTGTGCCAGAACGTAAAGACAAACGCTTTAGGATTTGTCAACAACTTTACGCGCCAAAACGCACCTATAAATAACTACCTATACAGGATGCGACTGTCCAGAGAGAGAGAGAGAGAGTCAGAAGAGTTTTCTGTAATCTGCATCTCGTAGACAAAGAAGTCACATTTCTTTCGCGAGAGAGAGACGAAAATGGGGATTCTCTGCTTCGTACTGGATTTGAGAAGCCTCTCGCCTTCTCTACTTCGAGACTTAAAGCAGGTTCTCTATGCGTCGCGACATTTGAATCTTCATCGCAGCGTTCTCAAATTTTAGCCTTTATTTGATCAATTTCTTCTTAACCGCAACTACGATGATTTTTTTTTGGTAACCTAATCTCCGATTCCTCGGCTCATTTTCGTGTTCTGCAGTCACTATTGCAGCTGGCGAACTACTACGCTATCTACACTCCGAGCGGCGGCAATAGCGGCCTTAGAACTCAGTCAAAGCCGCTGCTTGATCGAATTGGACTTTGCTATATCTTCACTAATCGCATTTCATGCTCCGTCGAAGTATGTAGCTAGCAATTTGCAATTTTGATAATCATTCCACACAACTAATTATATTTCGGTGTGCTTCTGAGTAGTTTTGCTTAATTTTTTGATATACGAAATGAAGCATGATTGAATTCGTTTTATTTGAAATGTTCACGAGGCCACGGTTTTGGAGATTTATATTGACGTTTGGAAAGCCTGAATTTTGTTCCTCTTTTCAAACATTGACGTGGCGTTCAGTGGTGTAAAAATAGAAAGAAAAAGGAGTGAATAGCTAATTGATATTTTGAACTTTATAAAGTGCTTTTTTTCGTCTTTGTGATAGTGCAAAAAAGGATTTGCGTTGATAAACAGTGATAGTTCATATGTTGTCCAGCTGAAGGTCGCCTATAGTCCAACAGGAAACTTCAGTCTCCGTGGTTTTCACCATGCTGTGAACAATTTGCCTACTGATGCTTTTTCTCCCGAGTTTGACATTTCTGGTTCTCTATCTTGTACTGGTAACATGACTAATATGAATCAACGTTATATATTTCATGTATATATCTATCTTGAAGTGTCCATAATATGTTAAATCACTTCTATTTCTGATTTATGGATTTACTTGATTAATGTAACAGATATGAAAATTTCAAGCATTCTAAGTGATAATGTTCTATATTCCTGGGGAGGACATGCTAGAGATATTACAAGAAAAGTGTTTTTGATTAGTGCTTGTATAGTTCAGCATCTGGATGATGATACCAAAAAGGTTCTCATGGTGAGTAAGCTGGACCAATGTCATTAATCTGTTATTGCACTAATGCAGTTATCTTAGCTCTCAGTCCAAATTTGATGGCTTTCTTTACCAGGATGCAGCAGACATGTGTGTTTCTGTGGAGTTTATTTTCATTCAGCACATGGCAAACCATCTTGGTGATGGTGTTGAGAATATTAACAACTTCATAAAGCAAATTGGTGATCTTGAAAATTGCTCATTTCGATCCTGTCTTTCAGGTTAAGCACCATCCTTGCCTATCAAAGTTTCATCTCTTTATGCATTCCTGATCTTGCTTGTCTTGGGGAATGGAGTTGAGCATGTATGGTGGAAACTTGACTATCAGCTCTCTAAACCTAAACTGATTCCAATTCTCAACCACCCAAACACAAGATACACCTCTTAATTAAATCTACAACAACTCAACAGGATCTTCCTTTGAACATTGTGTATTATTGATGGGAACTGATAAAAAAAATTTGAACTTACTGCATATTAGGAAAGAATTGTGGATGAATTATTACAGAACTATTTCATATTCTAAAAGAGTAATTTTGCAGATGCACATGTGTTTTCCGGAATGGCGAAACAATGGTTTCAGGAGCTGAAAGATGACGTGGAAGGATCTCTACACTCTCGGTTTATCTTCAAGTCCAATCTGCTATACAATGTCAACCAGTTGTTATGCAACTTGTGTAGATGTTTCAATCCTATAGTTGATGGGTTCATTCCTTGTCAGGTAAATAATGCATACCTAGAACATCAATTGTTTTATACTCTTACTCCTGACAAAAATGAGATAATCATATATTTAGTTTGTTTTCTAATGCGCCTACTTTTCATGTAATTTTGGCCATCAGACATGTTGGTGTCACGGCATTCCACTTGACAAATCAAATGTGGACCAGAGCAAGGGTTCTTATTCTTGTCCAGAAACTGGACAAGATCTTCGAGAATTGGATCTGAATGAAAACTCTGTCAAAATTGGAGAGAATACGATCTTGTTTATGCCCTCCTTTGAATGCTGTCAGAAGCTACCACAAATTGTTTCACCAATTGATTTCCATGTCATTGAACGAACTCCTCTAGGGTCACTAAATGAAGGTAGTTTTGTCCTTTTAAATAACTGCATTTCATTCTTCAATCACAAAAGAAAATCAGTCCCTGGAGCTTGTTTTATTCCTTAGAGGGGAAGGATTATCCTTATACCATGGGTTGTCTTTATTGGAACTTACATAGACCATCTCAGTTCTTTCCTCCAGAGCTTCTGGCCTGTTCATTCTTGATTAAGAGTTGAATGGTGTTACTCGATTTTCAATTGCTTGCAATTAGATTTTCAATTAATTTCTTTTTAAAAAGTAGTTTACTCTGAAAATTTTCTCTAGAAAGATAAGTATGAAAGTCAGATACTCCACAAACAATCTATATAAAAAGAGCCCAAAGATTGAGTTTTAACACTTATAGTTTAAGATGGATGGGGATCACTCTTTCCAGGTCAGTCGTATGCCACTAGATATCAGTTGTATAAGAACATTACTTAATCAAGGCGAGGCCACTTGATCTTGCTTCCAGTTGTTATACTGCAGTCTACTGATGCTGTAGTGATCCAATGAGTTCACTGCTTGTGCAAAAGATTTAGAGTCTTGCAGGATTTTGGTCTAATAACTCCTCAGCATAGACTTGCAGTTAATTTTGTTTTTTGTTGTGTTATGGAACAGGGTTTATTTTTGGTGCTTCATATGTTGTTGCTCCATCAACATTTAATGAGTTTGATGAGACTGACAAGTCAGAGCAAAACAATCAACGTATGGACAGGGATTTCCCTATGTTTTATATGTAGCAATGCATCTCTTGTGTCAGATGCAGATCTTGGTTTTAACTTTAGTTGGTTAATTGTGGGTGATTATTGGGAATGGTATTTTACAACTCCTTTTCTGCTTTTGCCTTGTTCTGTGGCAGTTTTTCAAGTGATCTGTCATCTACTAAATTCCCTTGATCAGGGTTTAGTTTGTTCTTCAAATTGCAATGTTGAAACTATGAGGGAGACTTCCTTTCTCTGCTATTACCTTCTACTGCCTTCAGATAAAGGGATGATGCTTCTCCGGGTAATTGGTCTGATACTCATTGGTATATGTTTTCTTTCAACTTCTAGTTACATTTTCCTCTTCTGCACTATTTCTTCCTCTCTGTCCAATCTATTGTAATCATATTGTTCGCTATTGAAGTTTTGCGTTGGATCATTTCCTTTGTCACTGATAGTGTTTGAGGAAATACTTGTCAATAAGATAACAGTATTGATATCTATAGAAAATTAAAATTCTTTTTATGTTACTTTCTTAATAGATTCAGATTGTCTTCTCCTAATTTTTGTATAGTATAGAAGAATTTTCTTCCTGCTTAATGCCCTATTTGAGATTGGCAAATGTGTGTTCTTTCAAGGGTCAGCAAATTTTTTTATTGCTTTTTTTTTCTGCCTCATAGTTGTTCTGAGTAATGTATATCATGGACTTTTTAGCGGCTTGTGGCATCAGAGGAAATCTTGCCTGTTGTTGATGCACATCAATTTACTTACTCTACAATGGCCAAAGAAATGGAGAGCTTGGTTCGGTCCTCTTTGCTTAAGGTTTTATTCTTTCTCTCAATCCTTGCACTTGCACCCACACACACTTACAGATGTGCATGCACACAAACAAACAAACACGCACGCACACACACATACATGTCATTGTTCCTTTTCCTCATACATGCAGGTCTATAAAGATTACATGTGTGTTAAGGTGTGATGTATATTAATTTTAGATGTTAATTTGAGATGATTTCTTTACTTTGATGAGAGAGAACATAAATACATCAACATGCATGCTAAAAGCAAAAGAGAAAACTCACCGCATTTTTTTTGGACAAGGAATTGGTCTTTCTACATTCTAAAACTATAATTTTCATGTCTATCATTGTGCCAAGATTGAAGCAAGTACCTACAGTCCACAACAGCATGAGAGAGGCTTCCATCAGAAACTAAACTTCCTTGTAAAAGAGAGTCTACAATTTGGGTAATCATCTTGTCTTTAATCCTTTAGCATCATTGTGACTGTGCATACGATTTAGTTGCAGATTTCCCATTATTTGATTATGGATGACTGGTTCCTCTAAGTGAAAAAGGAGTCCACCTGCCATTCAGGGTTTTCACTTAATGGAAGTGTAATATTTTGCAATGTTCAACAAATAATTCACCATCCTTTTGTCTTCAGAAAAGGTATTTTTGGATATCAGTCCCTTCACATAAATAATGAGTTGCCAAAGCCAGTGGTTTTAACATTTTAGGCTAGGAGTGAAATTCTCTGCAAATGTGAAGTTGTGTAGCACAAAATTGTCCTGGTTTCTGCAGTTGTATTATGCATTATGTTTCAGCCATTTCTGATAGATGAAATACAAAGCACTTCTCATATTGCATACTTCCAGAATTACCATTTTGAGTTTCTATTACAAAAAACTGGTGCATTTTCTGAATTTTATATCTATTGATGTGCTGTACTATTTCTAGAACATCTTACTGCACTTTCATTTGCATAAGTGCAATCTTAATAGTAGTGGTTGTAAATGCAGATGCATTTTTGAAGGTACAGCATTAATGCTGGGGAAGATTTTCTTCTTTGATAAATGAAAATTTCTTGTTACTATAATATTTCCATCTCTTCAGTTAGTTGTTTACAAGGAACCAATATCGTAGATTGCCTTCCAAGTTGGTTATATGAGCAATACCTCTGATGTTTGTAAGACCAGGCTTGTGCAAGTTGGACTCAGTAGATGTATGGTGATTTTCTTCTTTCTTCCATTTTTTTTTTGGCGGGGGTGAAGGGGGGGGGGGGGTTGGGGATCTACTGCTTTTGATTATTTCCTGATCAAAATTTTCTTTTTAACTTGTGTTTATTCGGTTTCATTTGTACTATCAAACTGTCCAATTTGTTCTTGACATATCAGATCACTAACTTAAGATTTGATTAAATCAGGGCAATTCCTCCTAAGATTAGAGAAGCACCTGTAGACTTTTCGACTTTGAATGACTCAGAAGAGGCTGTAGAACCAACCCAAGCAGCTGCTGAGGTTGTAGAACCAACCAAAATGCCACCATTAAGTGAAGAAGTTCAGGAAAACGAAGCCAATTCATATATTGAAGAGGAATGGGAACGATTGATTGTCACTGAACTACCCCAAATACATTCACCCATACAAGTCTCCAAGCCAAAATTGGATCATCCACTCCCATCACCATCACAGAGCAATAGGAAAATAGATGAAAAAACTTCAAAAATCCTGGAGAGATTGGAGATTCCCAGGCAGTTAAAGAAAAAAGCAGTTTCACCCAAAACCCCAGGCATTGGCACTTCTCAGACATGCATGCTTACTAAGAAGCCTCTTATCCCTTACGGGCCGTCTCGTGCTGATGATCAGAGTACATTGGCAAGCCAACCAATAAAGCCCAATTTCCAAAAGCTAAAGAGAAAAAGATAATTGAAGGAAATTCTTATGTCGAGTCCAACGTAGCCCTGCACCAAAGGTTGGTCTTCTCACTCTTTTTTAGATGCATCATGCATGATCTTCTACCGTGTAATATCTGGTAGGCATCTGAAGAACAATGAGGTTCACCTTTTATTGAGGGCATCCAAATTAAAAAAAGAAAAAGAAAAACTCACTACTGGCATGTAAGATGCAAAAATCACAATCCAATCCTATGTACTGAGCATTAGTTTACTTCTCTATTCAGTTGTTTCAAGTGCAGCAACGAGGTTTGATCATTTATTTTGCAGTAATTTTCACTTCTGCTCCTTTCTTGTTTACCATTATAGTTTCTCTTTTATTTGTTGTTGTTGCTGCTGTTCTTATTTTTCTGGTATCTCTATACAAGACAAAGAGGAGAGTACCCTCAAACTCTTGCATGAAGGAACTGTAAATTCCATTTTTAACCTAACTGGAGGTACGTTTTGAAGTTCAATTCATCTCTATGCCATGGCTAGCATTTTTTTCTCTTTTATGCACATGCAGTGGCATGAATTTAATCTTCACCTGGCATATCACATTGCTTAAAATAGATAACATGTTAGCCATGGCATAGAGCTCAACCTAGAAAATCTGGACATCTTAGGAGTTTTGGATGATGTCAAGATGTCTCTCCTCTCTCACATCTCAAGCTTATTGCCTAGTTTGCAAGCACTAGCCTGGGAAAGCGGACAAAATTTAGACATTTATTTAACTTGCACAGCGACATCAAGAAATCTGGATGCGTGCATTATCTGCAAAAGATAGAGATGAGAGTTTTACGGCATAGCGAAACGTTAGATTGATGTTGCTTTTTAAGTTTTTGAGTTAGACCATTCCATGATTGAGCTTCTTTTTCCAAATAATGCTGTGTGATTGAAGGCCCATTGGTCCTGAATAGAAAAGTGGCATCCTTTAAGTGAAAGAAATATCATGTTGGATGACACTAATACGAAGGTGACATGATGCTCATAAGTTGCTGATTCCAGAATCAGGAAAGGTGACGTAGGACTGGAGACGTGTTATGACCATCTGTGTAACTACCTGTCTGGATGCAGATATTCCACTTTAGATCAAGATGATTCGTTTATCGTAATAGTAGTGATTGTGGGAAATTGCATCTTGTAATTCGGCCCCACACGTGCTGTTATATGCGTTAGGGAGGTTGCGGGATGGACGATCCTGTGCTTCCGCGTCCCCATCAATCTTGTAAAGTTAAGCAGGCTTCCCTGTCGACTTGTTGAATCTGTAACTGGTAGGTGCTTGCTTGAATCCATTTGCAGTGGACATAATATTTGTCTATGTTCAAATAATTAGAAGATCTTTTAGATCTATCGGCAACAACCAGAGATTTATTATATTTTATATATTTTTTAATTTTGAAACGGGTCAAAGTTACTGTCCTCGTTGTAAACCTTCAGCCTCAAATGGGGCAGGTATAACTAAAAGCCGACCAAATTGCCAATTCATTTTCTTCATAGGATCAGATTACTTCCGCCTCTTGGTCCACCTTTACGTGCTATCTTGGCCATGTTTTAGTATCTCGTCGTTTAGCAATCATCGTGCCCGCTGGCAGATGCAGGCACTACCGTCGCATTACCAATGTAGAAACTGTCTGTCACTCACAAGCATGTATGAAGTGGGTATTGAAGCAATAGCAATATTGTGCATATTATTTCGTTAGGAAGCCAGTACGAAGTGTGAACCAGGTGACTATTATTTCGTTAGGATAATAAAACAAACATGCATGAATCGTGAAGACATTTTATTGATGAATGATGAGTTTCTGGAAGCAAAAGAAAGCGGAAAAAAGAAAGTGGGAATACAATACGCAACAATATTTGGTGCTCTTTCATTTCCAAGCGGATCATTACATTGCATCTTTATTCAAGCGGAAAGGACAAATCAACTCTTGTATACAACAATGATAATGCTTGTATAGAAAGATGTACATTGTATTACATTTACACGGTCAATAATTTGGGGCGGGGGTTGATCTTTTGCATTACACACTAAACATTACAGTAGTGCATCACCATTATCTTTATGCCTCCTCCATATAGTAGTGTATTAAACAAACAGTATAAAAAACTAATTCAATTGGGGGAAAAAAAAAAAAACTCAGTGACTGCAAAATGACGCTTTCGCCATACTGCTTGTCAAGCCAGTCAAAACTATACTATACTATACTATATAGCATCTACTAATACTCTGTCATCATCTGCTATACTCCAAGTTTCAAAAAAAAAAAAAATAAATAAAATCTGGCATACACCACCAAATGACGGGGTGGGCCACCAACTAAACAGGACCAATTCCACTAATGCTCTCGTCCTCCATTTCTCCTTTTCTTAAAGTCGTGATTGTCCGCCACTCCTACAAGTCCATGGTTGGTTGTTATTTATAACACATCACAAAGCCAACACGATAATAATAATATTTTCAAACTAATCCGCCATATCGTCTGTACAGGGTCGTGAGAGAGAGTGGAGTCCAGAGGGAAGGGCTTTTCCGGAGCCGTACGCGTTGAAAATTCCTTCTCATCAAAAGTTCTCTTTGTGGAAATCAAATTTGGTGGAGGTCTTGTGAGAAAAATCGGAAGCTAGCTGCTTCAATTCCTTGGTAAGTGCGGGTGCCCCACAGTAGAAGACCCCTGAAAATTGTGGAGACAAAAAAAAAAAAAAAAAAACTCCAAATTAGGAAAGTAAATAAAGTAGTAGAATTTTGAACAAAAGAAATGTAAAACTGCTATAGCTCCACATAAATATTTTATGTGAACGTAAAACACGATTCCAAGCTATCAATCATCAAACAAAGTACAACCACTACATTAGGAACTGATATCCTTTCCCTCTATCTTTGTTTTTTATTATATATATATATATATATATATATATATATATATGCTTTTTCTTTTATAAAGGCTGTGAGCAGTGTTACTTTTATCACCTTTATACATGTTTGGAATGGATGTAAAGGCTGGTAGGGAAAAGGCTTAATGTATGTTCCATACCAAGGGGAAGTCTTAATCTTAATGCAAACCTATCTCATAAAACAAAGTTAGAATTCGACATTAGACGACCGACTTTAACAAGCATGCGTACACCTTTATTTATTGTCTTCTTACGAGAGAAGGGGCTTTGGATGACGCCAACAGCTAAATAAACTCCTAGGAAAAGCACTTGACAAAATGTGAGTAAGGACATCTCATAATGAGAACAAGGATGTATATATATATCCATTAGGTGAAATTAAATACACTAAGAGCTTCTTTTTTCAGAGGAAATATATATAAACTAAGAGCTTGAATAGAAACTTACCAACTCTTGCGCTCGTATGATTGAGAGCGATGCGTTTGTATACGTTACGCCAGTTTGGCTTGGCAAAATGAGACTTAACGCGGGTTCCGGAAACAATATCAACTCCATGCTTGGCATGGTTGAGTGACTGAAGCATGGTGATCAGGGCGGATCGAGCATCACCTTCTTCATAAACACTAGTACAGTAGTTATGCATCTCTATCACTCCCTTCTTGTCCATTTCAGCAGCTTCGTTCATTATTCCCTTGAACCAATCAAATGAACCTTGTTCTCTTGTGACCCAATAGAAATACGCCCTTTTTGTTTTGAAGCTCCCTCCACTTCCTGACCCTGATTTTCTCTTTTGTGTCAAGGAACTGGAATTTGGAGCAACAGGGCCGCCGTCTTCTGCTGCTCTGGTGCCGTCCTCCAAAGAGCTCTCCTCTGCTTCAATGGCTTTCATGTTGTTCACAATATCTTTAACTATGCTGATCATCGGTGTTGCCCCGATTCCCAGCCCCACCAGCAACACCACGTCGTATTTCTTGTAGTCTTGTGCTGGCGCTCCGTATGGTCCATCAATCAACACCCTTGGGAAACTGTTGTTCATCACGTTTGTCCAAACATTAGAGTCAAACAATCAATGCACAATTATATGTTATCTTCCACATGGCACAAACTAGAATCTTTTCACTCTCATATGCCCATTAGACAAGAAATTTAAAATTGCAAAATCTTGACTCGTGAATCACGAAATAGAAAAGGCACCAATAATAGGTTACTTGACGTTTCCCTCCTTCAAACTGAAGTCTTTACTTTACGGGTCTCCGTACTTTAAATGCATGAACGTGAAAGTTGTAAAAGTAACTACTTACTTGGGATTGTTTTCTCCTTGCAAACAATCAGCTCGGAGGAGTCCGCTTTTCCCTGTAGGTGGAGGCTGACATACCTAACCAAGATCACATTGCCAAAGCAATAGTATATAATTTAGTAACATTCTCAAAGAAATCAATAAAAGTACCCCCAACCTCTGATAGACTAAGGTAAACGTAGATCACACAGTATAAATTGTTTTTTCCTTCTATCCAATACTTGAATTCTAAAATATCCTACTAAAATATATTTTCCTCTTTTTTTCCCACCTGGCATTTTGTACTGCATGGATTGGACCTTCTAAATCAATATATACATATATATATATATATATTTGGTCGAGGATATGGGAAAAGAGTCAGATATTCTGCTGCAATAATTGCGAATGCAATGTGTAAAACTGGTTAGTAATACTAGGACCATGGTCTGTGATTATGATGGTTTGTTGGGATCCTATAATTAAGGTGCTAACTTCAAAGATCTGCAGGATAATCGTTGAAGCTTAAGATTACTACTTAAACATCAAATGTCATTTTCTACGTCGCTATTAGTTGTTACTTGTTCCCTTAATATAATAGACTTTTCAAAGAAAACTGTACTCGAAAGCTCAAGTAGAATGGATGAGTACTAGAAGCAAGCATTACAGCTGTAGCAACTCCAATAATGGCATATTATTGCTTTCTATATATATATAGCAAATTCAATTCCATACTGTTACATAACATGGGAGAAAAAAAAATTTCGAAAATGGGAGGAATAGATAGGAAGCCTCAGGCTTAGGCTCACCTCTGAGAAAACAGTTCTGAGTTGTCTGGTCCAGTCACCCAGAGTTCGAATATGGACGCTCAAGTAGTCATCTCTAGGGGCCGAAGTTATGGAGAATGGGTGCCTGCATATATTGGACCACTAAGGGTTAGAAGAAGCATACGCGTCGTTAAATCTAGGCTAGAAAAATTAAAGGGTTCACCCCGGAAATGGATTATAAACTATACTATGTACAAAAGAGGACTAAAAAGAAGGGTCCTATGCCCCAGCGGAATTGGACTAATCACTCTCTTTTTTTTTTTCATAGAAAATTCCTTGAAATTGTTCTTCATGTAATTTCAGTCATATGGTTAATATTTTACATGTGTAATGAATAAGCAAAATTTGGAAAAATTGGAATTATCACAATTCACGAGTAAAAGTCGACTGAAAAAAGATCACCTACCATTCGAATGGAGACACAGCGGCGCAGTTGACGAACATGTACTGCCCACTTTTGTATTTGAAGCCCTGCGGCTTTGACATGTGAAGAGCCAACACGTTCCCGGGATAAACAGCCACCTACCAAAACAAATTGGTTGCACCAAAAATTGTTAATTTTTTTTTTTTCCTTTTCTATAGTTGAAAGGTGCAAGTAAAAAGTACGTGGATGGTAATCACATAATTACCTTGAGTATTTTAACAGCCTTAATACTTGACCTAAATGCTCTGATCAATCTCTCACCAGCATAAAGTGCGATTGGAACTGCCAGGTACATCCATGTCTGCCAATGCCAAATTAAAATAAGAAGAAGAAGAATACGTGCAAGATTTCAGGGAACTGAATGCTTAATTTTATGCCAATAAAAGATTTGATATGATATGATGGAAATATCATGATCGAGATTTTCAAGAATGAGAAAGTGTACTCACCGTCTTCTTGTACCATTTGTGGGTCAAATAGAGCCTGACACCATGAACGATGAGGAGAGCGTAGACAATGACAAAAAGGTGGTGGGAATACCAGAAGGCGTTGAAGCCAGTGAGTTTCTTGAAGGGTCTTGGTAGGTTGACCCTGTTACGCCTAAACCATGGGGTGGCTAAGGTGAATGCTACTGCCATCAGGACCACCATTATGATCCCGGTTACTCCCTCCACGCTCTTCACAAAATGCCAATAGCTTGCAGGTTGTTCTACTCCAAAATAAGGCTTCAATGCCTCGTATTTTGCAGGAGATGCATGCAGGATCCGAGGGAAATCACACGATAGATGAGCAATTGCATGTATTCCTACACCGATTGCTATTGCCACCGCTATCACCTGTAAGAAAATTCATACACCCATTAGCCTAATAATTTATTGTCCAACCCTGCGGGAAAACTAATAATTACTATTAATTAGTAAGGTTTTAACGAACA